AAGATGAAGTCTATCTTGTGATATGCGCGATGAAAGAATCCAACTCCATTCGAGAAGCCCCCCCTTTCTCTGTGGACAGCCTTACAGCTTCTCCCAATTCTTCTGCTCTTTTTCTAATCACATCGCCTTCTTCTGATGCCATCAACTTCCTCACGACGTCCTCAATAGTGGATGCATTCACCATCTCCTCGCGTTTCTCCCACTCCCTCACAATCAGGCCTATTTTCAACACGTCCGTCACCAAGAAACCAGTCATTGGTTGATCAGAGTGCATAGGCCAAGCAGCTATAGGCACCCCCATAGTAATACTCTCTATACAAGAATTCCATCCACAATGACTCATGAACCCGCCTGTAGACGAATGAGCCAAGATTTCTGGTTGTGGTGCCCATTCTCTTACCACTAACCCGACCCCTTTTACTCTTTCCTCAAACCCTTCTGGCAACTCAACTCTCCTAGCTTCCTCAGTAAAGATATCTCCTCTATCCGCGTCCCTCAACACCCATATAAACCTCTGTTTGCTCTGCTCTAATCCCATCGCGAGCTCCTTGATTTCCCTATCAGAAAATGAAGTTGTTGTTCCAAAAGACACATAAAGTACTGATCTTGGAGGCTGTTTGTCAAGCCAATCCAAACATACATCCTCCCTATTCGATATACGATCCATTTTGGTGGGCAAAAGTGGTCCAATTGCCCAATTTTTCTTCTTCTGATCACTTGCTACTTGTGCTAACAAATCAAGAAACTTACCTTCAATCACTTTGCTTGTATTATGTATATCACCTGATCTAATATCTAAATATGGACTCTGAGAAGCTCCGCGATCTCTGATTTTATCCGTCATAATTCCATCAAGGGAAGGTAACTTTTTAAGCAATTCCTCTTCAAGTTGAACAGACATTCCAACGGACAAGCATATAATACAGTAGAAAGTGAACACAGAAATGCAATTAAATATATAGGATTCCGCGTTGTGCAAGGATGAAACGTCTTGAATGTTATAGGACATTAAAGAATCATGAACAACAACGACTCGTCTTGATATTGAGGAAATATCGCGTAAGAAGGAAGCAATAGGCTCGCGAAGAAGCATACAAGCATCCCATGATGGCTCCAGATGTGATGGAAATTTGCTCAATGCATTAGGATCAGGTGCAGGAGAGGTAAAATCAGGTGTTGGGATATCATGGAAATGAATTTTGGCTATGTCTGAAGGATTTAACGCGTTGGCTCGAACACGAGCTTGAAGATTATGTGTAGCTGAGCCAACATAATAGACTGGAAGATCATCATATGATGAGGTGATTAAACAAGCAAGTTGAAGAAGTTGATTAAGATGGCCTTGTCCTGGAAATGGAACCATAACTATAGCTACTTCATCTTGTTTTAAATCGAAATTTCGTACTTCTATCTGATCCTCCATGTCTCCTGATTGAGCTTGTGTTACAAATAATTTATAAAAATCAAAATTTCGTATTTCTCTCTAAGAGATTTGAACTTGTAAAAAATATTTTTGAAGTTGCTCTTGAAATGATTAAGAATATTATATTTATGAAATATGAAATAAAAAACATTGACTTACACAATTTGTGTTGTGAAAGCAAAAAAGGACAGGCTAACTAATCCAGCCACTCATCCCTCAATTATTGGTGGATTTAAATCTTATCATCAATCTTGATTTTCTTCGAAAATAATAATAATATTTTGTGTCATGTTGTTATAAAGTCAAGTCATTTTGTCCAAGTTATTATATACAAAAAAAAAAATATGTAGTCAAACTTTTCTTTTATACTATATTTTTTTATGAGATCGATTTTTCATGTTATACTACGATACACGTTATATAAAATTATATCACTATTCGTACATTGATTGATTTTGTCTTTTACTAAACTGATGTTATTCTGGTTGAATTTTATACTGAAAGCACTTAACTCTCACTTTGATTTCATAAAGCCAAAGATGGAAATAAAATATCTAAAAATATTTTGTATATAAAAATAAAATATAGTACAGTACTAGTTATGAAATTATATTAACAATCTATTTCATATCAAGCAATCTTAATGATTGTATCAACAACAAAAAACAAGAAATTCAGAGTAATTCTTCAATTGACCCTTGACGGTAATCTGGACTTGGAACTGACAATGTGAACACCTACCACAATTAGAAATATTGACTCATTCGTCTACGGGCGGGTTCAAGAGTCACTATGAATGGAATTCCTGCATAGAGAGTATAACTATGGGGGTGCCTATAGCTGCTTGGACTATGCACTCTGATCGACCAAGAAACGGTTTCTTGGTGACGGAAATGTTGAAAATAGGACGGATTGTAAGAGAATGGGAGAAACGCGAGGAGGTAGTAAGTGCATCCACTATTGAGAATGTCGTGAGGAAGTTGATGGCATCAGAAGAAGGCGATTGCGATTAGAAAAAGAGCAGAAGAATTGGGAGAAGATGTAAGACAGTCCATAGAGAAAGGGGTTACTTCTCGAATAGAGTTGGATTCTTTCATCGCGCATATCACAAGATAAAGACTTTTTTAACTAGAATTGAGTCCACAATTGTGGATGTATAATTAAGTACTTGTTTGTGTTTACTTTTGTACAATTTATAAGCATTTCAATAACAATCTTTATGGATGGTATATCCTGCACAAGTACCCCTCAACCTATGCCCGAAATCTCTCTGTTCCATAATATATGTCGCCCTTTTTTAAAAATAGCTGGACCGCAATATATGTAAGTATATAACATTTATGCATAAATTATCATTTTTTGCGCATTATATCCTTGATAGATTAATTAATCTTGAAAATGTATATACTTTAACTAACCTAGGAAATCTACGAATAATTAATTTCATGGAGAGAGTACTTCATTAATTAATTAACTACTTTCTTTATTCACGACTTATTCTATAAAATTTGATTTTGAAAAAAAATATCAACAAAAATTAAAAATAAAAGATGAAATGGAGGCTACAATTACATGAATAATTTCTAATGTAGTTAAACATGGACTAATGATCTTGATGACTCTTCGTTTACATTGTCATCATTTAAGTTTTCATCTGTTATTTATTGAAAAAGAAAAAAAATTATGAAATAAAATGGAGGTTACAAGTTACAACTACATGGATCATCTCTAATATTGTCATGTTTGTTTAAGAATTTATATATAAAAAACAGGTGGTTGACATTTTTGCGCATTTCGATATGAGATTAGGCTTGGTGGTTGTCCAATGAATCATCTGCTAGCCCAAAATTGTTAATGAAGATCGAAAGATTCAACTATAGAAAAGAAAACTGAAACGGAGAAAGAAGATTTTTGAAGACTTTTAGAATTGCTTGGAAATGTCTTTGTTTTTTGATTTTTTTTACAAATGACTATTCTAACATCTTTTACAATGACAATTTAGATTTTTCTCAAGTACAAAAATCAAAGATGTTACTCTACAAAATTCTAAAAAGTTCTATGAAATATCTAAGATATTTTTTGTACCTCCAAAAAAATTAACTTTAATTTTCACATCATGTATATATGTCGTAGTATTAACATTATTCATGTAGTGTCTTGCTCTTCGATATATGTTACCATATGTCGTTACAATTTTAAAAAATAATTCTTGATTATTGACTTTTGTATTAATTGTCTGGTTTTCCCTTTAGCAATATTTCCTCGTTCATAACTATTTTGATTTGATATGATACTAATCGCTATGGACATGCGTTGTATGTTACCATATCAATTTTAATACTATATATAATAAAAATAAAAATAAAACAAAAGGAAAAGGCATAGATTATCCCTTAAACTTGTATAGAAAAAGTGAGTTGCACACTTAAACTATTATAACGACTTATTACACATCTCTACTATTTAAAAGTGAATTTATTTACTGGCTTAAGTCATCTGCGACACATTAAAATTTTCTGCATAACTCATTTAGACACTTCGATTAGGACTAGTACCTATTGAACACCTCTATCCACTCGAATGTGAACCATTTAACACTTTATGCAGATGTGACACAAAAAGTGTAATTCACATCTTGGTATGTGCGTGAAATAAATATTTTAACATTTTTCCTTTTCTTTTAAAATATTTTCTTTATATTTTTCATTATTTTTTTAAAAAATAACAATCTTTCTCTTCTTCCTCTCTTTCAAAACAACACACCTACTACAATCACTTCTTCAATACAATTCATCACCATTTCCCCCTGAAAATTTCCTTCTTTTTTTTTTTAAAAAGAAATCATCTTATCATTGTTTACTTTCGTTTTTTTTTCCAGAAAAAAGTTAGAGATCACTTGTCGGATAAAATGGAGATTATGATGTACATCTTTTTAAGAAAATACCATCAATTTAAATGAAAATAAGAAAGAAGACATAAAGAGAAATAATAATGATAAATTCTCTCATAATACATGTTAAACCCTCTAATGTTTGACTCTCGAAAAACGAAAAGTGCCACATAAAATGGGACAGAAGGAGTACATTTTTTTAGTTCAAAGTATTTTCTTTTAGAATTTTGTTATATTCAAAATTCATTTTTATAATTATTTTAAATCAAAACTCCATGTGTCTTCGTTTGATTTGTCATTTTGCCACATCATATGCATGTGTATTACACACACATTCTCTTTAGACGAAGTGTAAGAAAAATGTTCAATAGAAAATTATTTTTTAAGATTGAAGTGTCTAATAGGAAACAATGTTTTTTTAAGGTGATCTAGTGAATTATACGGACTACTTTAAGGGGTCATAGGTGACTTAAGCCTTATTTACTCCTTAAAACTGACGTGTCAAAACTAGCGCGCTAGAAAAAAATTAAAGTTAAAAAAATAACTAAAGGTAAAAGGCGTAGATCCCCCTTGAACTTGTGTCTAAAAGTCAGTTACACATTTTAACTATTAAGACGATCTATTACACACCTAAACTTGTTTAAAGTGGTATTAATGCCCCCTTTGAAGAGACATGGCAGAGAAAGTGTCTTCACCTTCCTTAAGGTGCTTGAGAAGAAAAAAAAATGTCAAAATAACAAATTTAAACATGTGACACTATCTTATCAGAATCCATTGAAGAAAATGATTACTCTATGTTTGTCTTCACTATTCTTATCAGAAACACTAATCACAGTGTCATTTTGTCTCAGCCGTCATCAATAACATATTTGATTATTCACTACGCACAAAAACTACAAATGAAATACTTGATTTGCATCTATAAGTATCAATAATTTTAAAGAAAAATACAGATCTGTGAAATTTTTTGTTTCACCGACAACAATGGTGTTGCCCCTGCCAATATCTCTTACTTGATAATCATCTTACTATTTCCGTCTTGTTTTCTCTTTTTTTGCTTCAATTTATGAAGAAGAAAGAAGGAATGAATTTAAAAAAGTAAAGAGATGGAGAGGGAAGAACGAACACAAAGAGTAAAAATAACTATTTTGGGAAAGTGTGAGAAGATATTAAAGGAAAAAGGTTAAAAAAATATAAAATAATATTATTTACGTCATCAAAACACGTGTATAACATTTTCTCACACAAAAATTGAGATTGTCTTCGGAAGGGGTTATTAATACCACTTTAAACAAGTCCAGGTGTATAATAGATCATCACAATATTTTAGCGTGTAACTAACTTTTCAAGACAAGTTCAAGGAGGAATTTGTGTCTTTTCCCAAAATTAAATAATCAAAATCTTCCTTCCCTCATATTACCCTTTAAAAAAGAATTCAAAAAAAAAATAATCAAAATCTTCCTTACTATCCATTACCCTCTTCTTTTTTTTTCATTCTTTAATTTTTTCACACCATTTTTTATTTTTCATGATAACCTCAAAGATTCATAACGACGAGAGCGTAATACTGTTGTTGTTTGTTATGGTTATTTGTTAGTTGTTTAGATCTGAAAACAGAGCCATGGCGGAAGCTTTGAGCTCGCCGCCACACCAACAAAAAAAAATCAAAAGAATAAAATAATGAGGTCCGATTTGGTGTTTTTCAGTGATTGATTTGGATTTTCAGTGATTGTTTTGTGGCGGTTTAGGTGATTGTTTGGTAGCTAATGATTTGTCGAAAAAGAAGAACGAATATAGTTGTGGAGGTGAACTTATGGTGGTGATGAGTTGATTATGCTTCGTCGGATAAGACAAAGAAAATCGTGATATAAATTAAATGAATGATTTTTATTATAAGATTAAAAATAAAGTGGGTGAGATTTACCGATAAAGAAGATATAATTTTCAATTTTTTTTAAAATAATTAATTAGAAATTAATAAGTATAAAATAGAGTTAACAAAAAGAATGTCAGATTAATTAACAAAGAAAACAAAACAAAACAAAACAAAGAGAATATAAAAAATTATAAAATCTGACGTAGCATTGACGTGGTGCTTGTAATACACTACGTGTTACAATAGTAGTGTTACACGTCTCATGATGATATTAAATTCAATTTTAAATATTAAAAATTCATAATAAATCGTCATAATAATTTAAACGCTTAACTGACTTTTCAAATCAAATTTAAAAGGAATATTTTTATGTCTTTTTTCCATAAAACAAAATCAGAACATGTTAGCTTTAGCCCATATGACAATGTCCCCACAGATTCCCCACAAACTGCTTCATCCAATTAATGTAATAAAGTAGAATTGACGTACCACCAAATTTTAAATGATGTGCTGATTGAAAATTCAAATAAATATTAAACGTGTAACAATTTATTAATGAGGTGCGTGAAAATTAATTTGAAATAAATGTTAAACGTGTTGCAAATTTGCTATTTTTATGTACTTAGAAATAGATTTTATGTTATGATCCTATTATTAGTAGGATAATAATATGTATGCTGCAATTAATTTAGTCCTGATAAAAAATTGTTTCGTTTAATCGTAATATAATATTTGAGTAAAATATTTAACTTAAAAAAAAAACAAACAAATAAGTGAACATACATGCAAAACTCCAAAACATGTGCACCGCATATTTTCTTGATATATCTCAAAATCTTTGTGGTTCATGTTGCATAACCTAGATTCAATAATTTAAAAAAAATATTTTTTTTCATCTTAATTTACGTGACGTTTTTTGAATTTCGAAATTTAAATAAATCTATCTTTGATCGTAAGTTTTTTCATATATATCTTTTGAATTGTCAATTATTATAATGTTTTTTTACGTTGTGTACAAATATATAAATTTCATTTCAAAAATATTAAAGATTCCACGAGCAAATTTCCCGTTTGACTCTCGAAAAAACGAAAAACGTCACATAGAGTAATTACTATGTGTGGTAGCCTATCCTCTTTCTTACATACACATGATTATAACTACACTACAACAAAAATGATAATTAGCGACATTTAATTCTTAATTGCCGCTAAATATGTATTTTTAGCGGCAATTGTCACTCTTTGTATATATCCCTAAAGCCTTTAGCGACATTGGTTTTAATGGCACTTAACTTATTTCGGTAAAAACTTTAGCACTCTTTATTAGTGTCAATATTTAATGCCGCTAAAAGTTGTTTTGGCTGTAGTGCTATGAAGCTGGTAGGACTTGAACAAACAACCTCAGAAAAATTTACGACGCCTTTATAAACCGCTACTGTGTGTGTATATATACACACACACTCACTTCAAACATCTTTTGTATAAACTTCAAAAGTTTGCTTCTACCATGACACAAGTAGAAAACCATGAACTTAGCAAACTAAAACAAGATGAAGTAGCTATAGTTATGGTGCCATTACCAGCTCAAGGCCATCTCAACCAACTACTCCAACTTTCATGTTTGATCTCCTCCTATCATCATCCTGTCTACTATGTTGGATTGGCAACACATAATCGTCAAGCTAGGATCGCGTTAAATCCTTCAAACATATCCAAACTTCACTTCCATGACCTTCCAAATCCTGAACTAATTGCCTTTGAGACAATATGGGATGCTTCTATGCATCTTCGCGATCCCATTGCTTCATTCATACGCGATATTTCATCAAAAGTAAGACGAGTCATCGTTGTTCATGATCCTATGATGTCTTATAATGTCCAAGATGTTTCATCTTTGCCTAATGCTGAATCCTATATATTTAACAACATTTCAGTATTCTCATGCTACATTATCATGTGCTTGTTCTTAAAGACATCTGTTCAACATGAAGAGGAATTGCTTAAAAAGTTGTACTCATTTGAAGGAGTTACAACAGATGAAGCTATGGATTTATCAGATTCTCAACATCCATATATGGATATTAGATCAGGTGATATCCATAACACAAGTAAAGTAATTGAAAGAAAGTATATTGATTCGATGGAACAAGCAGAACTTAGTCTTAACAAGAAACAATGGGCAATTGGACCTATTCTACCTACTAAACTCGATTACATCTCGAACAAGGAGGATGTATGTTTGGATTGGCTCAACAAACAACCTCCAAGATCAGTTCTTTACGTATCTTTTGGAACGACAACTTCACTTTCCGATAGGCAAATCAAGGAGCTCGCGATGGGATTAGAGCAGAGTAAACAGAGGTTTATATGGGTGTTGAGAGACGCGGATAGAGGAGATATCGATAGAAAAGTTGAGTTGCCTCAAGGATTTGAGGAAAGAGTAAAAGGGGTTGGGTTAGTGGTAAGAGAATGGACACCACAACTACAAATCTTGGCTCATTCGTCTACAGGCGGGTTCATGAGTCATTGTGATTGGACCTCTTGCTTAGAGAGTATTACTATGGGAGTGCCTATAGGTGTTTGGCCTATACACACTAATCAACCTATAAATGGTTTCTTGGTGACAGATATATTGAAAGTAGGCCTGCTCGTTAGAGATTGGGGGAAACGCGAGGAGGTGGTAAGTGCATCGACTATTCAGAATGTCGTGAGGAAGTTGATGGCGTCAGAAGAAGGCGATACGATTAGAAAAAGAGCAGAAGAATTGGGAGAAGCTGTAAGACAGTCCACAGAGAAAGGGGGAGCTTTTCAAATAGAGTTGGATTCGTTCATCGCGCATATCACAAGATAGACTTGTGTTTCTTTTGTAGCTCTTTTCTTCTTTGAGTTTCTCTTTTCAAGCATTTTGGTTACTTCTCTATTCTCTTTTTTGAACTTGTTATTGATCAGCTTCTTGGCTCAGACTAATGTATGCTACCTTATATTTCTTTGATCTTCGAAATGTTCGATATCTGAAATATATTCATCGCTAAATTCAAAGTTAAGTCCTTTTGTACGTAAGTTTGACATAAGAATATAACTATAAAATGTTATGTCAAATGTTGGAGATTTGATATTTTTAAAGCTTCATGAATAAAAATCTTTTATTCCATCGCAGGAACTAATATATTTTAATAACATTAGATTTATAGAAAAAGTTACAAGTTCAAATGGAAAAGAAAGAAATGTAAATAAAGACATGACATTCATAATAAAATATATTACATTTATATATACAATAATATTATCATATTAATTGAATTATATTTTGTTAGAAGTCGATTTGCTATACACAAAATATTTCATATGTATAAAAAAAACTGAAATATAAAAAAGAAATAAACAGAAAAGAAAGCACGACTATGTTACAAATACATATATATTATAATTCTTAAACTATATATTAAAGGATCTGTATATCAAAAAAATTAAATATGAATTCTAATACAATAAAATTCAATGTAACATTTGCACTAATTTTTTACTTTAGATTATTTTTTTTTATTTTTACTTGGGCACTAATTTTTGTACCTTTCTATAACAGTTAAGTACATGAATTTTATAAACATTTGAGATACATATAAAAAGGAAAAAGTAAAAATATGTTGTTTCAAAAAAGATAAATAATTATCAAACAACGAAAAATACATAACTATAAATCTTTATGAAAGATTTACACTTTTACGGGTCTAGTTGTAAAAATATTTTGCGGGATTTAACATGCTTACCCTAAAAACAATTAACTGTAAATATAAATTGGGATTACCTTGATTATATTTAAATCCTGAAGATAGAAGAAACGAAGAATATAAAAATATAGTAATCAATTACGAAATTATATTTAAAAACTCAAAAAGATGGAGATATAAAAAATAAAAATTCACTTATAACTTTATATTGGAGAATATTCATCTTGTAATAATGATAATTTACATATTTCTCAACAAAAAGAAGATGAATATGCCTGAAATTTTAAAGAATACAAAAATGAATCAGTAAGATGCTTACAACTAAATGAAATTTTTACAAATGATTTAGACTAACCTAATGTAAAATGAAAGATGAGCACAAATTTGGATGAAAGAAGAAAATATAAATAATGTTGTGAGAGTGTCTTCGATAGACTCTTCATTAACTCCATTTATCTTACAAATTAAAATTAAATTTTATTAGACTCTTCACTATCCACATTTAAGATCTTGCATAAAGTCGAGGTACATAAATTTATGATTGCATTAAGATCTTGGTCGATGCATGAATGTAAATATAACTATTACTTAATATTTAATTAATTTTATGAATAAAATAAAAACAAAATGATAATCTAACTTTGATGTTAAGAGGTTCCTACTTATAATAATATATGAAAAGATGAGAGTTATGAACATTAAGAGTATAAAGTTGAATAAGTAGTCATTGACATTTAATTGAATTTATACAATCAAATATTTAAATATTTTATAACAATTTAGTTTATAAAAAGGGAAAAATCGTAATTCAACTTTCTAACTTTTTTATTCATGCTTTTAGTAATATATATGATGATTATAAAATATTCTATGCTTCCACTCATATTTATGAAATTCCCCTCATATTAGATGGACCAAAATAATACATGTCACAGAAGGAGTAAATTTTTTCCACCTGCCTGTAGATTTCTATATAAATATTCAAGATGTCTAACACTAATCTTAATACAAGCGTTGTCTGGCTGGATGTGTCGTAAACGGTCAACGCCTGAAGGCTGTTCTCGTCCCTGTGGGGGGAGACGACAACCGTCTCTCCTCTCTACGAACACAAGAAGTAGCGTATACCGTCATTCAATGAGAGAGATGCAAAGAGCAACAGCCATCCCTGATACCAGTGAGATAAGTTGGATTACTGTATTCACTAACGTCGTCCTGCCAGTATTGTTCATTTCAGCCAACACTCCGGCAACTGAAATGTAGATGAAGCCGCCAGCAGTGAATCCCTGCAAGATCACATTCGAAATAAGAGAGGTACTCTTTTATGAACTCGATAAATGTATCTGACTGACAGCTCGAATAAGAATCTCACCTCAATCAATGACGAATGACCAGAATCTTGTCCCAATGTCAATGCCTACATAGCATAACACAACATGGTTCAATCAAATGCGATAAGCATAGCAGAATCTTGATCCATGCCAACAGATAGATTAATACTGACCAGTGCAGTTCCGGCTAGGGCCACTAGTGCAGATAAGAAGTTAAAGAAGAGAGCTTTGGAGACGCTGAACCCAGACCTTACCAAGATTCCAAAATCACCTATCTGCATAGAAAACACATAATAAGGTTTAGGGATCATTACATTCATGGAGATTGAACATAAATTCATGAGACAAAAAGGATGTCGTGCAGATGGGACGGATGTGAGATATGAGATAGAGATGAAGATTAATTTATCTTGATTGGCTGTAATAAGCTAAAATGTTGGGAACTTATGATAATGGAGAAAGCTTTACATGGTTGGGGGGAATAACATGACCAGAAGAAGTGTTACATTAAAGAAGAAAAGGATAGAAACTTGACAATTATTTTTAATACTGACTATGGACGAATTTCAATTGCACTTAATACGCCAGTATGGTTTAAATGATTAGCTTGACATAGCATAATTGAGAAACAAGCAGCACAAGAAAATCCAGTTGGTGTGTTGGACAAATACGAAAGTTGTCAAAGCCTGTCTACAAGGATTCATCAAGTCTGGCTTCCATAAATCACATTACTTTTCCTGACAAAGAATTGACGGATTTACAAGTGATCAATAAGACAGAGAAAATGTTGTCGTGGAATCATGGAGTAATGTGATCTAGTTTGATAAATCACCAAATGAGCTAATAGACTATAGTTCCTACATGAGCTCAAAACTGCATACAAAAATTAAGTTAAGCAATTTAACAAATAAGAGACAGAGAATAGAGAAATGATAATAAAAAATGATTACTGCAATCATGTTTTACTTGATTGAACTTGCTGATTCAAAGAAAAGGAGCAACTTCATGCATCTACATGCAGCCGCTAGTATGGGTAATCCATTAAAAACATGCAAACGCTATTGACATTGTAATGTAAAACAACTAGAAAGAAATATACAAGACCTCTTGAGGGAGCTCATGTGCCAGAAGAAACAAAGTTCTTGACCACCCACCAACTGATCCATGAAGGAGGAATGCACTTCCCAAAGCCATCCCATCAGTAAAATTGTGCTGTACCATAACATAAATTCTCTCAATCTAAATGTTCACCAGCCAGATATATCTAGTTGTTTGTGAGAAATCATAAACAGAGAGGAAGGCTTATGTAGCAGTCATACAACACCATCAGAAAAGAGGTTGAGATAACCAAAGACAAGGCTTGAACGTGATTTAGCCTGTTCCTCTCCAGTTGATGTAGAATTGGTAGAGCAATTTGCAGCATCTAAAGCAGTATTGTCTTCAGCAGCACTGGAGCCAGTATTCCTCTGCCATGGCTAGCATATGAGACGATAGAAATAACAACTATATAACTGCACGCAAATAGATATTCAATCACTGCATATCGTTTCTAAAAATCTCTCCAGTGGCTGCAAAGACAAACTATTCAAAGAGATTTTCAATCTAGGAAAAGACACTGCAGAATTGATAAAACTGATGGAAGACACATTAGCCCTATAGCCTATTTGGTCAAGCTTCTGTGTAGCCAAAAAGCCTTTTCAATTTTTTTTTTCAAAATTTGTTTATTTTAGCACGCTGAGGTGTTTGGACAAGCTTTTATAGGAAAAAAATAAGTGCTTATGAGTAGTAGCAGTAGCTTTAAAAAAAAGTAGCTTTTCCGCAGAAGCACTTTTTGAACATTGGCCAAGAACAAAGAACTGCTCTAATATTGGCTGAAGTGTTCTTCAAATAGATTACTCAAACATAAACTGCAAATGATTATTCATGTACAATATTGTTCACAAGATTGAATTTAGTTTAAGTCAAGTATGAAAAGTGGAAAGAAACAATTTTTCTTTTCTGAGAAATAAAACTGGAAAGAAACAATTTCACCGCAATTACATTGAAAAACCATCTTGACAAAGCAGTTATTTGTGTTTTGGTCAGTGCCTCGCAGCATGTTATGCTGAAGGAAATGTTCACATGACCCTCTAAATTCTGAATAAAATTATTATTTTCCAGTATTTGTTTTAGTATTACGTGAAAGTTCACAAGTGCAGATCATCCTGACAAGAAATACACTTAACTGAATCTCAGCATGGGAAAATATGGAACAGCAAATTTTGGGGAATGTATTGGTTCTACCTTCCGTAGAATAGCTCCTCCATTTGGTTTCTCCCCATTGGGAGAGTCAGTAGACACTCCATCCACTCTACTCCCTCCAGCTACCTTTTCTGATGAACTTCCATCTTTCTCCTGAGACAGTTCCCGGAGATTATCATCAGCATCATTATCATCCTTCAACTTTGTGTAGTGCATATGATGATGGTGATGATGACCATGACTCCGCTCATTGACTCCTCCAGAAAACTCTTCAACATACCTCACAAGCTTCTCAACAATAAGAAAGAGCACAATTCCAGCTGCCAAAACAAAAGTTCCATGAAACATTCAGCTGTAAAGTCAATGACAGTTCCTCTGGAATATTTTTTTGAGAATTTTTGTTTTGAGAAGAAAATAAACGCAGCTACACAATGAGCAACATAGCGATTAGCGAACTATTCTTTCCCCTTCCCTTTGGAATATTTGTATGCTAAAAGTTCTGATATTTCCTATTTTGTGATACGGAGCAGACCTTCCCAGTATGTTTCTTGCAAAACTATACATACAAAATTTCACAAAATGAATAATGAAATTTAAAAGCAGAATCATGTCCAAGAAACTTACCCAAAATGGACAATCCAACAGAAAGATCCTCCAATGAATGGGCGTGTGAATGACCAGAGTGATCATGAAGATGGTCATCATGGGAGTGGGAGTGCCCACCACCTAAAAGAAGTAATCTGTTCGGTAAAATCCTTCAATGCCACAAATAGTTAAAGGCAACAATATTTGGGTTTAGAAGATAGACACCAAATATGTCTGATATATCACCTTCCTTCTCTCAGACGAATAACTATATTCTAATAGCACCTCTAAGGATATGCATACCTACTAATTAGATATTACTGCCTCTGTTCCAATTCATTTGCTATATTTTAACTGGACATTCTTGAAAGAAAGAAAGAAAGAAAGAAGATATTTGGCACATCGAATAAAATATTGAATTTGGGATAGTTTGATAGTCATGAGTTTAAGAAAGAAAGAGAACTCTTTGACGAATTGGATAAATATTCATATGAAACCAAGGGCAGCCTTTTACAGAATAGTTTATGTTCCTGTTTTAGGAAAAAAGGTTTATCAATATAGAAAAGTGGCCATCTTATTAGAATGGAAATGGACACAAAAGGAAATAGTGCCAAACAAACTGGGACAGAAAGAGAGTTATTCTTTCCCAGAAAATGATGCTCAAACTGACCTACAGTCTCAGCTCAGGAGAAGAATATTCCCACTAAACTACATGCATCAGCACAACATTAGGACAAAGATGAGCACGACAAAGTTATTCAATCTCTCCGACATGAACTAGACAAGTGAATTGAGAGTAGTGAAAGGTGGAAAGGGGAGTTACCCAAGCACTCAGGGGCAGCAAGTTAAGCAAACCTGCCTTTGATGGTGTAAGCTAGTGAGTTTTAGTAGGCTGGCAGCTTCATGGGTAGACATCTAAGAAGCATGCCTGATGTAAATACATCTCGCTTATATCATTTTAACAATTATTGAGCTAAGTACAACCAAATTATGACGGATGCTAACAGTTTATGGTATTTCAAGGTAAGTGAGCCAAAAAGCAATATGCAATGTTACTTCTTAATTAATTTAAGATTAAGAATCATACCAAAAGCATGTGGCAATTGGTGAAGGAAAGCATCCCCCAGCATGGCTCCTGCCTGTATAAGTCATGAAGTAGGGCTAGACTGAGTGAACTTTCACCCTAGTAAATAATTTTAGAAACAATCGTCCAATAACTGTTCTAAGCATGTGTAAATGAATTAGTATAATTTCCAATCAGAAACAGAATTAATTTAGTAGGCAGCATTCATATAAATGATAAGGCAGAAATCCAGATAAACTGAAGGATCAATTTCAGATATATGGAAAAGAATAATGCAAATAAAACTGAAAATGCCAGCATATTGTTCAATTATAAAAAAATGTGTCAACTCATAAGCAGAAGATCGTCGATTCGTAATCAACAAACATAATAATCCTTTCAAACCTTCCTCCGATAGAAACTCTTTAAGCATTTCACTTGCTGAAGCCATTTGTTACATTACCTACACATCATTAACTTATGGGGAACCGTGTTCACGATCATCTTTTTAAAGCTCAACAGAACCTTGAGAGAAGATTTAGTTTGAAATAACTATAAAGTATAAGCTACTGAGATATGTTATAGCTAATAGAGAACTTCCTCGGCACAAATCAATTTCCTAGTTTCTTTCTAAGTGGTCCTGAAGTAGTCCATTTCAAGATAAGAAATCTGGTTTCCCACCTTGTTCAATACTTTTTAAACATGAGACCCCTGACAAAGAGTAACACCACCTACTTTATGTTTTCAAAATTTAAAACTAGAAACAAGTTAAAATATGATGCCTCATCTAGTAAACTGAGACCAATTAATACTACATGGAAGGAATATGAGCAACAGAAGCACCTTTCTGATTACCGTGGCTTCTGATTATTTAAGAAAGTGATTTTCAAAT